GTGATGACTATGAGAATGTTAGAAATCTAGCTATATAGAAATGACATATTAAGATGCATGTTACTATCCACTTTTGTGTCATCTTTTCGTAAGTCTGATTAGTGTGTTTATTGTGCTAAGTTATTTTGGTCATGTGCTTTTATGAGTGCTTAATGTATCTTCATTGGAGTAATTTTATGCAATAAAACTCTAGAAGTTATCTACTTCACATGAGATCATGTCCTAAAAAATTAAGCTCACATTCTTTCATCAATATTCATGACAAAAGAGGGAAGTAAAAAGAAAAATTATGGAGGAATGTTATCAGGGGTTTTAGGTTGACAAAACTCCTAGAATCCAACATTGAGACTAAAGCATTGGATGAATTTTGTAGTCAAACTTGCATGTCTTATAGAGGATAATTTCTTGTTAGTTTAGGGAACTCATACATATATTGAGAATGGTTTTTGAAAATTTATGTTTTCTTGCTCCCCTATGTGTTTTGATTATCGGGTGAAATGCAATAAAGAAAAGGGAAGACAAAAAAGATATGAAGTGATTGATTCAAATGAAACATTCATAGCAAGGGGAGTAAATATGCTCACCTCCACTACATCAAGTTGTGCTAATTAAGAAGCTAAATCTGGAAATTCTCAAAACTAAATATATTCATGATCTTACTTGTCAAAATAACTATGATGAGCTTGCCTAATTCATGTGTGCTAAACTAAATTAGCACGAAATGATATGTATTTTCCCTTGTTAATTCCTCTTCCTTTTTGTTGATGGCAGAGGAAGAGAAGTTTATACTTGATTGAAAAATGATTTTATGATATATTGTGAATTGTTGCTTATAAAAAACATAAGAGATATGCCATTGGAAGAAAGCATCTTCTCGAAAAGAAAAGGTGTGTTTCCCTCCAACATCATATATACAAGAATTCTACAATATTTCAGGGGGGAATTTGTGAGAAATCCTTACATGTCTCAGGGAAGATTTAAGAAAAATTTCCATATGTTTCAGGGGGAGTTTACTTATAAGAATCCTACACATCTGTTATTAAAATTAAATGATTATAGTGTGCTATATTATGCTATTTTGACTGCTTAACCATTTAGTTATGCCTAATTGTTCAAATCTAAAATTAATTATATTTGTCGATCGCTATTTTGTGCTAAATAATTATATTTTGATTAAATGCCATATGCATGCTTTTAAATATTATATCTTGTTGATTATTTTAATTGTAAGTACATCATTTAACTGAAATACTTTATGTAGCATATTATGGGAGAGCTATCTTAGTACTTACTATTCGAGCATAATAGTATCATTTTTTCTCAATGGTTTATCATCATCAAAAAGCGGGAGAATGCTGACCCTGCGTGTTTTGATGATGACAAACTTACGAACTTATTGAGAGTATTAATGGTATGCTAAGAATGTAATTAATCCAAGTAAGCTTCTCTAATCCATATTTTGTCAAATATATCATGATGATGAAGAATGAAGATTGATATAAGAGTACTTGAACATCATTATCAACTCTCCACAAACTCCAAAACAGACAAAGATCTACAAAGAAGAAGAAGCATGGAGTAATTTTGAAGTTTTGCTACAACACTCATTAAGGAAGACCAATGGTTAGAAAAAAAATTGGTTCTTAGGCTTTCTTTAACTTAAAACTAGAATTAAATTGATCAAAATTACTTTTGAGAGCCAAAGGAAAGATCTATAAGCCTTTGGAAGAAAATTTCCAAAGTTTCTAAGTGTTGGAGATGCCATTAATCAACTACCTTGGATAGTAAAGAACAATGTCAACTAGTAGTTGCCTACCCAATTTGGTATAATTGACTACCCTTGATAGCCGAGGCATGAAAATTCCTAGCACGATTCAATAGCCAACTATCCAGTTTGCTATAGTCCATTGCCAAGAGGAAGTATTTGGCTTGAGGAGAAAAAGATACCTTTCTATGCCTGGGAGTCAGCTACCAACTTATCCTAGTCAATTACTATGACAAGTTTTTGACTATTATAAGGCATAATGGCTAGTTCTACATTTTGTATGCCTTTTATCTTGTTGGGAACAGGTTTAGAATTTTTCTTATTGAAGGTTCAAATATTCCCAATGGCTAGAAAATGGTCACTTGCTATCAACCTCTATAAATAGGAAGTTTTGATTTGAAACCATAAGAGATTTTATTGTAAATATTGTACAATTGATTTATATAAAGTTTTACAAGAGTTCTATTTTTTTTAAAGAGATTTTTGTGATTTAGTAGTTATGAAAGTGAAAAAAGTTGAATAACCTTCTAGCTTGTTTATTTCTCACTAAGTTATTACAAACTTTTTTGAGTTGAGTGTTTGTGTTGAACAATCTCTTGCATTTGAATAGTTTGTGTTGTATTTGTACTATCTGCCTATTTAAGAGGCATTTACAAGCTATGTGCTCCATTGTAATATCACTTGTGAATAGGAAATGTTTAAAGTTTGAACACCATTAAAGGTTGGGTAAACTCCTCTAAGATATACCAAGTTAGGTTGAACAAACACCCATAAATTTTGTCTACGTATTATAAACAATCGTAAGTCCTACTAGTTGTATAGGCTTTGCTGGCTCAAAAATCTAGCTAGCTACTTCAGTAGAAATCCATAAGGGGGTTGCCTAAGGTAGAGGGAATAGGCTAGAGTTGGCCAAACCTTTATAAAAATCTTGTGTATACTATTTTTTTATGGTTTTACTTTCCTTTGTACTTTACTTTTAGTTTTTGTAGTTATTTAGTTTTCTTATTAGCGAACATTCTAGCACTAACAAGCAATTACTTTACTATAGTAAATATATTGTTCATTTACTTTATATAACTACATTATATTGTTCTTAATAATTGATTCAAAGCATTTATTAATTTATTTGTTCATCTTCTTGTTCAACTGCTTTAACCATTGTATACACATACACTATAAGCCTTTCATTCTGTTGCATTTAGCTTTTTCTTTTAAGAGAAGGCTTAACTTTGGTTGGTCGGGGGGGGGGGGGGTAGGGTTTAAGTTATACCCAATTCACCCCTCTTAGGTAAGGCCATCCATCCCAATAAACCAAGCATGTCAAACCACTATAAATTATGGTGTGCCTTTGTGCTTTGTGTAGTTCTTTACCTCTATTACTTTATTGTAAGTTGAATCCTCTCTATTCAAGTAAAAATACTTTCATTAATAAATGCTATATGAAACTCACTACTACAATTCTATTTGACACTCTAAATAAACATTCTACTAATTGTTGTAACCTTAGTGCGTTTAACAAAATGGAAAACTCAAATTGTTTTGTGTCAATCATCATCTTAATTTAAATTTGTTCATAGAAGAGTAAGGTTATGCATATCTCTTTATAATTTATATCAATATTGTCTAAGGTATGTTATAGGGTCATTTTAATATGTCATATGAAATAATGTAAATGGGTTAGAAATGAAGTCAAAATTGTTAACAACCCAAATCACCCCCTATTAGGTTGTCTTATTGGGCAACAAAACTTGCCTTTGTGTTTTGGCTCAACCGATATAGCATGGTGGCGATTTTTGAAAATCCTCTACAAAAATGGCCACCTACCCAACAACAAGAGGAGAACTTGGCTATAGTAACTGAACCTAGCAATTGTGTTGGGGTTGTGATGGTTCTTAGAAGGATGAATGGGTTTTGGAATTCCGATTGAACTTAAAATTCTTATTGGTGGTGTCACTAGGGGTGAATTCAAGCCAAGTTGAGCCGAATATTTGGTTATTCGAGTTCGACTCGCCAAAAAAAATGTTAGGATCAAGTTCAAGCTCAACCTTGATTTGAGTTAAAGACTTGACCCCAAATTCGATTTGACTCAAAAACTTGTATGTTTGAGTTCGACTATGAGCTAAACTTCCTATAAAAAATAAAAATTGTGTATTATAAAAATTATTTATCAATATATGTGTGTGTTAGGCTCGAGCTCGACTTGAAACTCAGTATAAACTTAATCAAATTGAACTTTTTACAAGTTGAGCTTGAATGGTTCATAAAAAGATCAATTCATTTCTACCCTTAGGTGCCATTAGAAGGAAAAATGTGGCATTCGAATGGAAGATTGGTAATTTGTACATATTAAAAATGCAGTTGATAATTAGGTACTATTAGAAGGTTGACACCGATAGGATACCCAAATTTCCTACAAAATTGCCACCCCTAATAACAAATTATTTGATACACGTGGATATTGAGGCCTGTGGAGGTGTTTTTTGGAATTTACACTTTTTTAGGTGGTGTTTGCCGCCTCTTTTTGGAGTGTCTTTTCATATGCGAAAAGCTCAAACTACTAAAAAATGGTCTTTTTTTTTCATTTGGTATCACATAGACCGAAAAATGCGAAGACGAGCATGCAAAAAAATCGAAAAAGACAAATCAGGAAGCTTCAAATGAAGCTTTTAGTCTTTCAACACTGAAAATAGCCTTTCCAACTGTTTTAACAGCCTGATAGACTATATGACGTGAATCAAAAGATCTTGATTTTTAAAGACAAGACCCCAAAGGCCCTGTTTGGCGCATCTTTTCGCATGGTTTTTCGACTGCTTACAAGTTGGGAATACTGAAAATCGGTCTATTCTTGTTTGGCATGTAGAAGATCTCACTGCCAAAAGATGGGGCACCGAAAAGACGTGGGAAGCCTATTTTGGGCTGATGCGTGTCTTCCGCGTTTTAATCTCGCGCAGAAAGACCCGAAATAACGCATAGAAAGATGTGCGTCTACCAAACGGTCTTCGGGCTGCCCAGATCTTATGTCAAAAGCTCAATGCATCTATTGACTGTTAGCTCGGGAAGATCTTCTCAAAAAGACTTGCCAAACGGGCCCTTAGGGCTCTTGAAAGATTTATCAACAAAAGAACTACGAGTGTGTCTTCTTGTCTAGCGGACTGTTGAAAGATTTATCAACAAAGACTTGCCAAACAGCCCCTTAATTTTTCAGACAATTTCAGAGATCATTTTCTTCAAATTTCAGAGGAATTGATAGCAATTGGAAATTCATTTCCAAAACAAAAGAGCGCAGGCTTGCACGCTCAAGTCATCTTCCTTTCCTCGAAGTCCCAAAGTTTGCTAGGTTCTCTGCTGCTATTCTCAAACGAATAGAGGAAGATGTCAGAAATGGTGGATATATGATCCTTCTTCAATCACGTGAAGGAAGAACTAATTTAGAGAATCCGATCCATCTCCCCATTCCTGTGTGTTCTCCTACCACTATGTATGCAAACAAAGGATGACCGGCCAGTACATCAGCAGAGGCGGCAGGATTAACGTTGGCAAATGTTCAGTGTCTTTCATCGGCAATGCCGATCTTCATTCTCACGGATGAAGCCATTTCTGTCATCTTCATTTTCTTCATCTTCTGATTTGACCCGTGAGAACAGAATTTCTCTCTATTGTCCAAGTCTTCTACCTCTCCAAACATGTCAAAGCTTGCGGCAACTCTTCCAAATCCAAGCCCACCTCATCACCTCCGGCCTCTTCCAAGACCCGTTTCCCGCCAGCCGGGTTTTGAAATTCTGTGCCGGTTCAGGTGACACTGATTACACGGTTTTGGTCTTTCGGCACATTGATTCTCCCGATACGTTTTGCTTCAATACAGTCATTAAAGCCTACTCTTGCAGCTCCATTCCACACCAAGCTATAGGCTTCTATTTCTTGAATTTGAGAGATGGGTTATTGCCCAATAGCTACACTTTTGTGTATCTTTTGAGATGTTGTGCAAAGGTGGTGCATTGCTCTGGAGTTGGTGAGAAATGCCATGGGCAGGTTGTTAAGAATGGTGTGGACAAAGTGATGCCAGTGCAGAACTGTTTGATACATATGTATTCGAGTTTTGGTCGTGTTGACTGTGCTTGGAGGGTGTTTGATGGAATGTGTGATAGGGATTTGGTGTCCTGGAACTCCATGGTTGATGGATTTGCTAGAGTGGGTGATTTGGTTGGTGCACGTAGGATGTTTGATATAATGCCTGAGAGAAATGTAATTTCTTGGAATACCATGATTGATGGATATTTGAAATGTGGGAGTCCTGGCTGTGCGTTGAAGCTGTTTAGGGAGATGGAAAGGATGGGATTGAGAGGGAGTGATACGACAATGGTCATTGTTCTTACTGCATGTGGGAGGTCAGCGAGGCTGAAGGAAGGGAGATCTGTTCATGGATCTCTCATCAGAAGCTTCATGCAATCAAGTTTAATTCTTGATACTGCTTTAATTGACATGTACAGTAAGTGCCAAAGAGTGGAACATGCAAGAACAGTGTTTGATGGGATGTCGGAAAGGAATTTGGTTTCTTGGAATGCAATGATATTGGGTCACTGTACTCATGGATGTCCACAAGATGGGCTTAATCTGTTTGCTGACATGGTAGGAACTGTAGGTCCCAGAGATAGATATAGTGAATACAATTGCTCATTGATAGGAAAAAGAGTTCTCCCTGATGAGGTTACCTTCATTGGTGTTTTATGTGCTTGTGCACGTGCTGGGTTGCTTTCGGAAGGAAAGGATTTCTTTAACATGATGACTGGTGTATATGGTATAAAGCCCAAATTTGCACACTACTGGTGTCTGGCTAACCTCTATGCAAGTGTTGAACTAGTTCAGAAGGCAGAGGAAATATTGAGGAGCATAATGCTGGAAGATTGTGAAGATGAGTTATCATATTCTTCAATTTGGAGTGGCTTTCTTGGGGCATGCCGCTTCCGAGGAGATGCAGATTGGGGGGAGCGTATTGCAAAACGCTTGATCGAGCTGGAGCCTCAGAATGCATCCCGATACACTTTATTATTGAACATCTATGCTGTAATGAACCGATGGGAAGATGTTGCCAAGGTGAAGGAAATGATAAAGGAAAGAGGTTTTGGAAGAATGCCTGGGTGTAGCCTTTTTGACTTGACCGAATTGGTTTACAAGTTCAAGTTAGGAGACAGATCACAAGAGGGGATGGAGGAGGTCTTCACAATGATGGAGGAACTGGCCCAGAGACTAAGGTTGTGTGGTACTAATTCCCCACCTGTGGGTGCTGAGTCTACTGACAACAAGAAATGAAACCTGGAGTAAAAAGAATAGTGCATAACTGTGATCCTCACATATGTAAGTCAGGGTTGCCCTCTTGTTTCTTGTGTCAATCTTAATTAAATTGTTTTGTTTAAGCTCAATTCTTTTGTTCAAATAATTTAGGAAATAATTTATGACCCACCAACATTTAGCATACACCATTTCTTGGTGAGTTCTTGTGATTTTTCTGAGCAAGATAAGATGCCCTCCAAAAGGCCCAAGTGGGTTGATGAACTGTCAGAAACAGGGACTCCCTGACTTGGTAATGTACTGTTTGGTGGACCCTGAATTGTTTAGTGTTTTTGATTCTTTCCCAGCTATTTACTTATTTCTATAGTTTCAAATATGAAGTATAGGATACAGTTGTCTTTGTAATCAACTATGCAACTGTTGCTAATTAATCATTTGTAAGATGCATGGCTTGTAAAACTTCATTGAACTGTTTCTCATTGTCTCTATTGTTTCTTGATTCTTTGTTGTTGCCTTTTGATTTGCAGTGTTTGATTTATCCTTTGTTGTTCAGGTTGTTTGCAATGACATGCAACTCAATAGCCATGTTTGTAATTTCGTTTTTCACTTTCTTCTACACAATTCTTCATCTTTTCCATGCTTTTCTCAGTTACGGATCACATTCATTTATCTACTAAACATTAGCAAAGGTATTTAGCCATAATGGAAGAATGTCCATATCCACAGCTATCAGCTACTATATTAGCCAATATTCCTTCAAGATGGTGGCTTTAGGTAATGTAACAAATTGTATACGAACACTTATGAATACCTAAGTTGTGGTGTCAATCAGCTTCCGTTTGGATCTGCATGTGTTTAAAACATGGTTGCTTTAAGAGGTCATCTCACCATGGTTCAGTTTCCACATTGCATATGAGATTTCCAAGCCAGAGACCTGTAGGATCATTTAAATTTCCTAACCAACTATCAAACTCATTTAGGCTGCTAAAAAAATTGGTGGAGCTCAGAGCTATATGATTATGATAGTCTCATTAGGTTGCTTTTTGTCTTAAGATCTACTTTTGATCCATCATTGCAAACAGGCTCTCTGTGTCTGCAGGGGTAGGACTGCGTACATCTGTGCCTCCCCAGACCCCACATTTGGTGGGAGCCTCATGCACTGGGCTTCCCTATCTAGTTTTGATCCATCGGATGGTGGATCATGAAAAATCCATCCCCATCCATTTGTTGCATGTATTTGGAATGGTTCTCTTTGTTTGGGTGCAGGTGGAACTATCTGCCGAATATGACAAGTATGTTTAGTTGTTTACTCCAATAAGATTTGTATGGCCAAAGAAGAGAGGTAGAACTATGTGGAGATGTACAAGGGCTGCAATAATTTGGATGGTTTGGGAAGAAAGAAATGCAAGAATTTTCAAGGAACTGCAATAATTTGGATGGTTTGGGAAGAAAGAAATCAAGAATTTTCAAGGAAAAGGAAAGAAGCAAGGACGCTTTATTGAATGCATTATTGCTAGAGTGTCTCATTGGATAAAATCATTGGTAAGTTTTTCATTAGCAAGTGGAAAGAAGTGGCTGAAACATCCAATACTAAAGATATTACCTCTCCTTATTGGTCTCCACTGCATAGAGGTTTCATTGAGCTCAATTTTGATGGCAGCTACATGGAAAACCTAGGAAACTCAGGGGTGGGAGGAGTGTCTAGAAATGAAGACAGCAAATTCACTTTTGGCTTTTGAGGCATGATTGGTGTAGGTGACTCATTAAGGGCTGAAGCCATGGCTTTGATGGAAAGAGTGTGAAGGGCAAGGAATATGAATATAAAAAAGCTAATAGTTGAAGGGGATTCTAAGTTCAAGTTGGCTGTGGAACGGTTACAAAGTAGGGAAGCAAAGGTGTGGGAGTACAGGAATGAAATGAAAAAAGCTCAGATGGTTGATCAAAGACATGGAAGTAAGGTTCCAATGGGTAAAAAGGGCAGCTAATAATTTAGCTGATTTTTTTGATAAACAAGGGTTGGAGAGAGATCAAATGTTTTGGGCACACTTGTAAGAAAATGAAAGGGGAGAGATAAGAGGTTTTATCTCTCTTTGTTTGATTGTACTCATTTACAATTGTCTTTAATTAATAAATTCATGGTTATTGATCATAAAAAGTAGGAAGGTTTTGATCTGGGTCTTTCTGTCTTGTAGATTTTGAAAATTGACATTTTCATATCTTTCCTCAGGCGTTTAAATGTCATCTGATTTATAGGTCTCAATCAAATATGCAATATGTAGAGATCTTCCTTATATAAGCATTCAATGTGGTCAAGCATAACTGTTATCTTTCTTTGGGGAATATAGTTGGTTTGGCATTTTTAGTACATGCAGAAGCTACATCTTATTGGTTTCCAACCTTGTACATGACATAACAAATAATGAGTTGTGTTCGGGTTGTGTGTGGCTGATGAGGGTCCCAGCAGGTTCCAAGCTGAATATGGAGCTAGCTGGAATTCCTGGCATGATCTCACTTAATGTGATTCAAATGTGGTCTACTCTCTGGTTCATTGTTGGTTTCTTCTTCAGTTATTTTCTTAAAGCACTTGCTATTTCTGGGATCACTTGGGGGGCCACTGGCTGCTGCATTGGCTTCTCTAAGGGGCTGTTTGATGACAGCTGAAGTAGCTGAACTGAAATGCTTATTGTTTTGTCTTTTAGTGAATAAGTTTTTTAAGGAGGTTGTGAGCTCCTTCATGGTTGAAGCTGAAGTTTGGTAGGTTACTATACCATTGATTATTTTATCCACTAAAAGACAGCAATAAGTCCTTTAGTTCAGCAACTTCAGCTATTATCAAATGGCTCCTAATCAAAGACATGATTGTGCTGGCAACGTTACATGTCTCAACTCTTCATTGGTTTATTTCACTTCTATATTGGCAACAAGTCCAAGCTTTGGCAGCCATATGGTGCTCTTTTAGATAAAAAATGTCTTGTTTTTGGGTTTAATGGTTAAAATATTTTCTTACAATCCCTGTGTGAGACCATTGTCCAGGTTTATCAAATTGGTTCTAGGCAACAGGGATCATATTCTGTTCTGGTGGAACCTGTGACGTGGAGACCAACCCCTGCGTGAGGTTTTCCCCACCCTCTTTGCAGTTGCTGCAAATAAAGAAGCTAAGATGGCAGATTATGGGGTGGTGTCTGAAGGAGGTACAGCAGGGCGTTCTCTATTTAGATGCAACCTGCAAAAGTGGGAGGTTCAGGACTTCCTATCACTAATGACTTGCCTTTGGCCTGTTCATCTTCACCTGGCTCTCAGGATTCATAACGGGGACTGGAGATGGTTCAGATGTTTTCTCTGTTAAATGAAATCATGTTATCGGTGTTTATCTGGCTCTCAGCTCCAGCCCGCCCCTTGGAGGTGGATCTGGAATATTAAGGTCCCAAGGTCAGTTTCTCCTTGTGGACTACTATAGGTTTCCAACTATTGATCACCTGATCCATAAGGGTTTGAACATCCAAAATGTTTGCTGTGTGAGGCCGTGGAGGAATAAGTGGGCCATATTTTCTTATATTGTTGGTGTCCTGGATTTGAGCTCATTTATTTGGATGTTCCACCAGTCTTGGGTTGTCCCAATGAATTTACACTCTCCTCCAGTCCTGGTTTGGTGGGGGCTTGATTAACAGAGGTGCCAAACTTTGGAGATTGCTTCCTTTTGCAGTCTGTTGGACCATTTGGGAGGAGCATAATAGAAGAATGTTTGAATCAAAATCCTTTCCTCTGATGGTGATCTTGAGTAAAATAGAGGGGCTGCTCTTCCAATGGGTTGGGTCTTCAAGTGATTTCAATGGTTTATATTTGGACCAACTCAGCTCAAATTGGTCCTTGTTTATTTTTGCTCGAAGTGGTAGTTCTTGTGTATTGGTATGATGTATATCTTGTAGATGGCATACTGAATATGTGATATTCTTTTTGTACATGCATTTTTTTTTTGGGGGGGGGCTTCCCTCTTTAATACAATACACAGTTACTTTTAATTTTTTTTCTTACAATCCTTCATTGATATTCCATTCTGTTGACATGTATATCTCTCACTACAAAATAAGAAATTTTGTCTGCTGATCCCAACTATAATGGTACCTTGCCTCTTAACCATGTTATGGTACCTTTTATATTAGTGGTCTGCATAATTCAATCTCTACATAAAAAAATAAAGTTGGGATGAAGCTGAGAAGGGTATAATTCAAGGAAATAAGAGAGCTGTGGAGAAGAGTAATTCAAGCTAAATATGGAACTAGGAGTTTCGGCTGGGATCCTGGAACTTCCAATCATACTTATAGCTGTTCTGTTTGAAAGGGGATTGAAAAAAACCTACAAACAATTCTCTAAAGGAGTGAGGTTCAAAGTAGGGATGTAACTTAGGTAAAGTTTTGGATGGATGTAAGGTGTGAAAGTGGGCTGCTGATGGAGGCATTCCCAATTCTTTTTGATTTGGCCACAGACAAGGAGGCCAGGGTGGCAGACTATGCTTTCTCAGGATGGGAATGTAGTTGGGGCTCCCCAATTTTGGAGAAATTTGAACAACTGGGAGGTGGACTACATGGTGGGGATGTTTCACTTACCTTACAACACTCAAGTGGAGTTTGGGAGACCTGATAGAAGAGTGTGGGAGTGGGACATATTAGTAAAATTTATTGTGAAATCTTTCTGCAAGTATCTCACAAATTCTGAAGATCCATCAGTCTCAGCTGACATTATTATGTGCAAAAATGTCCCCTCAAAGGTTCCTTTCTTTGTATGGACTGCTTACCTGAATAGGATTTTCACAAAGGACAATTTGTCGAGAAAGGGTATGTTGCTGGATTCCGAAACGTGTGCACTTTGTAATGAGCACATGGAGTCGGTGAATCATCTTCTTGTGCATTGCAGGTCCTCCTATGAAGTTTGGTCCAAGGTTTGGGGTCTGTTCGAAGTGAAGAGCTGCTACCCTGAATCTGTGGCAGATTTTGTAAAAAGATGGAAAATAGGAGGTCTAAGCAAGGGGGGAAAGACGGCATGAAATATGGTTCCAGCAGTGGTTTTTTGGTGCATCCGACAAGAAAGATGCTAGGAGTTTTAAAAACAAAAGCAACTCTAGTAATCCTATATTCCAAAGGATACTAGGAAAGTTCTTTTCTTGGTTAGTCAACCATAAGATGTTCAAACATAGTTTCTTTAATTCCTTGTGTATATGACAATCTTTTTGTAAACAAACAGGGTTTGGGGTCGTTGTAATCCTTGGGCGGATACCGTACATTCCCTATGTACATCTTGTTGTACAGGGATCTTTTTGTCTTATTTTGATTAATACAATGCAACACTTTGCCTTCTTTAAAATAATGGTACATGAAGCTGAGAATTCTATTAATAATCCATTCTAGTAAAATTTATTACATTCTTTTTTTTTTTCTCTTTTATAAGAGGTGACCCATTGGTACCAGCTCTAGAATGTTGTGCAAGTGTCATGAGAAGGATTTTCCTTTCTAATAGTTCAGAGCAATGGTGCCTTGTTGACCATGGATCATATGGGAAAGCTTAGCCTTGTATTTCCCTGCTTATACTTTCTTGGTTTTTTTGATCAATAATCTGTTTTTTTTTTTTATTTTTTTTTTATCAATAACAGATTCATTATATTCATTGAAACATCAAACTAATTACAGCATGGAAGACAAACACTCTTATCTTCCGAATACAACTTAAACCCTCCAAAGAGGGAAAAGGAAAAAATAAACAGTTAAGTTACAACTTAGCCCAAAACATTGTTTCCCTTTTTATCCCTTGTTTAGCTAACCCATCAGCTAAAGCATTAGCTGATCTCTTAACCCAGCCCATCCTGATTTCCATCCCCCACACCAGCCACCTGAATTTCCTCTTCTCATTTCTGTAGTTCCATAAGCCGCAGTTGTCTTTAATCAGCCACCCTATCACCACCTCCGAGTCCCCTTCAATTAAGAGTCTTCTAACATTCATCTCTTTGGCTTTCTGAACTCCTTCCATAACTGCCAAGATCTCAGCTCCAAGGGAATCCCCCACACCAATTGGGCCTGAGAACAGGGCAGAGATGATCCCATTCTCATCCCTAAAAACACCTCCAATCCCTGATTGTCCAAGATTTGCTTATACTTTCTTATCATACTGGGGCATCAGCGTATTTCTATTATTTTTTTTTGAAGAATCAGAATAAAAATTTGAGTCTTCTAACATTCATCTCCTTGGCTTTCTGAACTCCTTCCATAACTGCCAAGATCTCAGCTCTAAGGGAATCCCCCACACCAATTGGGCCTGAGAACAGGGCAGAGATGATCCCATTCTCATCCCTAAAAACACCTCCAATCCCTGATTGTCTAGGATTTGCTTATACTTTCTTATCATACTGGGGCATCAGTGTATTTCTATTATTTTTTTTGAAGAATCAGAATAAAAATTTCATTAAAATAGAAAAGAGTCATACAACCCGGGGGTGTTAAGATAGCACCCAACCTAGAAAACAAGCTGATTCAAGCTGATTACACTGCACTAGAAAAATCAGGGTATTTCTATTGATTCAACTGTAGCAGGTCATTTGGAGTCTCATATTCATACTGTATGCAAAGACTTGGATATGCAAGGACAAATCTCTATGTCCATCTTTCTTCTCCAACTGTGCCACTTTCCATGGCAGATGAAGTTAAAATGAGGATTAATGAAGAAAGGCCAAATGAAGGTTCTGTTATAAGGTGAAGATTTTGCCTATCAAAGCAGCAAGGTTTCAGATTCTATTAGCAGGCTAAACTCAGTAACCATGAACCAGTTTATGGAGGTGGCAAGTCCGTTTGCAACTTCTGAAGGCTGTGCTGATATCTCACAAGTCAGTGCAGGCATGCAGACATCTCAGAAAATTGTTGCTGATTGTTCCAATAAATTAGTTCAAAGTGCAGACTCTGAAATCCTTGTGAAGATCCAATCTGCTATTGGAGAGCACTTATCCTTGCTGACTTGGATGTTAAGCAAGAAAAGGGTTTTATTGGGGATCAATTGTCCAAACCTGCTGACTTAGATGTTAAACAAGAAAATGGTTTAGCACCTGCTGTTCCCATTCATTCATCCCCAGTAAATAATACAAAAGAGAGGTGCCATCTTATGGTGTTTTTCTCTATGAAACAAAGGGTTCCTCTCATTTTTATTTTCTATTTCTTAACGGCGAGTCAGTAATGGATTGAGGTCATTTCAGGATACAAGGAAATGAACTGATTTGCTTTTTTTTTCCCTTAACAACCCTCAGCTAATTCATTTCAGATGTCTTTGGAATCATTGGTGGACATTTATTAGCAGTGAGAAAAACCTGTTATTAGTTCTAGATTTCATTGGGCCAGTGGTGAATAAATTCTTTCTTTTCATTTTTTTTTGGTAAAAAAAGTAAGGTGTTGAGATTGGGCTGATAATATTTGTTTTTTATTTTTAAAGTTTAGCTAGAGTTATCGGGCCTAAGGTCCATTAGTTTATGTTTAGTTAAGAGTGTTTACTTGTGTTTTTTGTAATAGCCAACTTACTAAGGGTATACTTGTCATTGTATTCAGTTTTAATTATGAGTATATAAGATAGTGAAAGGGGCGATCAGATCACTTTTTTTTGGCTTCTCCCCATTCTCTTCAACCTTTCTCTTCTTCTCTTCTTTGCACAAACTTTTCTTTTTCTTCTTTTTATCACAGATTTCAAATCAGATCACATTTATTGCACTTTCAACTTACGGGTTTCAGAAACCTTTGAAACTATCAACTGTACGAATTAAACAGAGCCTTCATCTCTATAGTTCTCAATATCATCTACAGTAGTGATTTTGTAACAGTGTATGTTTTAATTCCTATACTGTTGACACTGGGGTTGACTGACGATGTTTACATGCTTTGATCATATCCAATGTTCCAGAACTTAGCTATCGTTTTCTGTGTTTTACTCATTTACCTAATTCAAACAACATCCCCAGTTCAAAGAAATTAGCCCTTTCTATTTGCTATTTGCACTGAATCTGAAGCATGGTCAAATATGATCCGTCTTATCAGGTGATACCCAATTAATAATCAATTTAGGACTGGATCTGATATTATAGATCCTATAGGGTCTGGTTTAGGACTGGGTCTAAATAGTTGTCTTATCGGTTTGGTATTGGTTCCACCCTGTCTGGGACCAGACTCAACCCATAGACAGCTATACTTATCTGGGGTTCTCTATGGTCCATGGCAGAATCTACATAATAGCATGAAGTGGCACAGAAGGTGTCATTAAGGCTGTGTTTGGTAAGACTATGAATGCAAATATGTACGATTCATGAAAAATCAAAGTTGGTTTGGTTTTGCATTGATAAATTTTGTATTCTTACCAAACATATTTGTTGTGATGGGTGCAAACATGAATTGTAAGACTGGAATCAGTCTTTTTACATTAACCAACTTTGAGTGCAAAGTTTGCATTCATTTTTTGGAAACAAATTTTGCTCCCATTTTGAATGCAAACATGTCAGAAAAAAAAAACAAATTTGCTTTCATTTTTAGTATAAAAACTTATTCTTACGAAATGCCTGCAAAATTGAACTGGAATATAAACTCACTTCGGTTCAGCGTTTGCACTCTTACGAAACACTGCCTAGAGCATCTGATATTGCATCAGTAAAACATCTGCTGCTCATTGTTAGGAGCATCACATTTTGAACTCATGAATTACAGCTATTATCATTTTGCCAAAAGTTGGTTTTTTGTTTTTCCTCTTGTGCTTTGTATATGACTGATTTACATTTAACAATTGCAATCTACAGTTAGAGTCAAATTTGCGCCACATTGCAATTTCAGAAGAATGATTTAAACAGGTGGATTCTGTTTTCACAATTGGATCAGCTTATCTTGTCTTGACCACCTCAGTAAACCTGCTTCCAAAACATGGGATTGGCAGAAAACGTGGCAGATTTTCAGATGCTGATTCTAATTTTTGTTCAAATTCTACTGGATCAGGTATCTTCTGGTGGTGGTGTAGAAGGCTTTCTTGTCAAGTATGCCATTGGAAGGTTCTACCCAACACCTTGGCATGCAATTCTGGAACAAGGTAGGCATTTTTTTCTTTGGTTTTGTTGTCATGTATGAAACTTTGTAGCTTTAGTTTCATTAATAACGGTTCTGACAAAGTTTTAAGTTTAAACTTTTGCAGCTTGGTGCATAAAGATACCTGGCATATTGTATCCTGATGGGTCAGACTTAACTAAGAGCAGTAAATGCATTGCCTGGTGAGCTATGGTTGAGATGTCTACAAGCATTCTGAAACTTTCTTTCCAGGTATTAATCTCCTAAGGTCTATCTTTTTTCAAAATTTATCTTTTATATTCCAATGATAAAAGCTCATCTTATTAAAATCCTCTGAACTTCTTGTTCAATTGTTGTCATATTTTTCCATGTTGGAGATCTAGACTCAAATATTTGGTGGGATGACCTGGAAAGCAATCTATTCTTGTCTTAGATGTCTAAGGAATGTAGGAACATAGCAATTCTATTCAAGAAGGTGACCATAAGAAGGAAATCCATGGAAGGAACTGAAGTGAATTATCTTCTAGATTTTGGCAAGAGAAAAACCATTGCAGATGCTGTTCTCAAGTGTTGAGTCATTTGAAGTGTCTTCTAGTGAAAGAAAGAAATATTGGTTGGATGAGTTTCATGTTTCTTTGAACAGCTTGAAGGCTTTTGAAGAAAAGAAATTAGCTTGCATGTCTAATAAGCAGAGTTCTGCAAAGCTTCAGGTGCAGTTGTTACGGACTCTCGGTCATGAAGAAGCACTCCAGAAGTGGACTTTCCTACCTTATATCAATAGGAGAAAAATCTGAGAACTACCAGTGTGGGCACTGTAACAAGAAACATGCTGGTCCGGCATTTTCTTTGCTCTTTGTTTTTGGTCAATAAAATAAGTGAAAATAATTATTGATTAACTACTGAAGAATTCAATTTATTTACAATGCATGAATGTGCTTAACTCTTTGTTTTTGGCCAAATTGTGAGTCAGATCATTTCTTTCCCACCTTAGCCGGCATTTTCTTTGCTCTTCCACTCTTTCAAAGCCTTATGTTTTCACCAAGTTAACCCTTAGTGCCGTCATTATATGCACATGATTGAACCATTTCATATTTTCATATATACATTGTTGTTGCTGTTGTTTTTTTTGGTAGAAAGTGTTGTTGCTGATCATACATACTGTAGTGTGGTCGTTAAAATGAATATTTTTTTTGTTATTGAATCGTTAGAGGAATATCATATACATGATGCATGGTGATCATATCTTGTAACATTTTTGTATTTGGGGCAGTGGGGCTCAGCCTCTTATTTTGATAGTAAATTAGTAATATAAATTTACCTACCTACCAAATCAGAAATAAAAGTCAAAAGGGTAAACCTCATGCGTGGAAGCTATACAAAGTAATGATACTTTTGTTTACTAGGGGATGTAATGCCAGATTTATGACCCACTGTACATACCAATCAAGGCATCCAACCTGTATAAGAAGGAAATGAAAAGAGAGGCTTCTGGACTCTCTCAAAATAGAGAATGAATGGAAAATATACATTCTCTTTTCTTGTTTGGATACATTCTATTGGTTCTTCAATGCTTTGATATACCACTATGAGGATCAATTTTCATTAGACTTCCCTTTGAATACGAACTCCTTTCTTTGAATGTTAATGTGATTCAAGGAATTCTATTAATGAGATACTTTGTAAGTGTTTTTTAGTTGGTGGTGGATGAAGAAGAAGAATCTGCAAGCAAACTGATATATGTTGTTTTCCTCCAGAAGCCAAAAATTGCAGTAACTATTTTCAGGCAACACTAAGCTGTTTTTTTTTTTTTTATCAATAACAGAAATTTATATTATTAGTAGAAAACACAATTACATACAAAACTCCAGGGAGAGATAAAATGACTTAACTCTCCCCCAGAGAACCAAAAGGAACTTACAAATTTGGCCAAAACAATTGACCCCTTCCCACCCCCTGCTTCGCCAAGTTATCAGCAAAGACATTTGCAGTTCTCACCTAATGAACCTGAATTTCCACTCCCCTCATTAACTGCTTAACCTCCCTCCCCTCATTAGGATAGATCCAAAAACCATTACCCTTCCTTAACCAATTTAACACTAGCCATGAATCTCCTTCAATAATCAACTTTTGAATATTTAGCTCCTTTGCCTTCCTTGAACCTACCAATAATGCAAACAATTAAGAGAGTCGCCCATCCCAATGGGACCTGAGTACAATTCAACCACCTTCCTATTTTCATCTCTTATTACACCTCTAAAACCTGAGGGTCCTGGATTGACTTAACTACTCCCATCAAAGTTTAACTTCATAAACCCTGGGGCTGGAGGTGACCACAGAGGACACACCAATGACTGAGCCAGTGTAGAGGATGCCACTTCCTTCCAATTGTTAATCAGCATACCCGTGGAGACATCAGCAAACAGGTCCAAAGTTTTCAGCCATTGCATCACCCCAACTGTTATGACCTCAATCAGCTCTTCTTTTGTTCTTTCTTTTTCAAAGGTCTTTAAATATAAGAAAGGGCTTTTGGGTTTCTTTTATGTTTTTTCTCATTGGTAGTCTTCACCCAGTCAGTATTTTCCAAAAAAGTATTCCATGGATGATTGTTTACAGACAATCGAGGTAAAAGATGTTGGCAGGATATTGAACAGAATAAAATTTTTAGATTGTTGTCTGATTGGTAAGATTCTTAGGGTCTGATCCAGATGAATAATTTATAGCTAGTTTGGCATCAAATGAATTGGTAAGACTCTTTTCTTCTTTTGCTTACATTTTAAAACAGATTCTCAATTTGTCCTTAATTGGGAATGGTCTCAGACATTAACTGGAGTTGTGTGATGACTGGTGGTTCCCTTCTTGAGGGTGTAGAAGGAACTATAAATGCACTAGATCAGTTTGGATTGTTGTAGTGGGTATACCTTCACATGCCTGGTGCCTCCAGAAATTGAGAGCAACTGGAGATGCTTAGGGTTGATTCATTTCAGTTGATTGAAGAAATGCCAATTGGAGTTTCATTAGATGTGCTAGAATTTTGATAGAGGTTGATGATTTGGATCGAGTTTCTCTAACAATGATCTTACTATTAACAGGAGAAAGATGTGAAACTAGAATCCTTATTGAAGGTGAAGATATTAAAGTTGTGATGTATGATCTGGAAGTTTCTGATAGTGATTATCAGGAAATTGAGAAAGTGTAAGGTATTTTATTAAATCATGAAACAAAAACAGCCATTACAACCATACACAGCCAGGAGCTATGCATCTCAATGCTAATATATCAATCAGAATTACTTAGAAAAAAAAGTATAATGAACAAAGAATGATTATATTGGGTGTTTGTTCAGGAGTTCAAGGTTGAAGGGGGTTGGTAGTTGGTTCTATGATGACATTCTTTTTTTTTTTTAAAGATAGATGGTTGGGGCAAAAGGTTGAAGAAAGTGTCGTTAAGGGATACATGTGATGGGCAAAATTTTCTTTGATCAAAAGAAGTTTGATTCTAGAAGTTTAAATTGGGACTGTTCTGAGTCTTGGTGGAAAATTTAATTTTAAATGTAAGAAGACAAAGAGTCGTCTGGGCAGAGGTATGGTGGGGCATACTTCTATAATACATTAATACACTATTGGGAAGGTTGATCATAGAACATGTGGTAGGTCTTTTAATGGAGATTATGGTAATTGTGGCTGGTATGAAAGGGTTAGTGGTTGGTTGGTTGACTGATGTCTTTTGCATGTTTTATAAACACTTCAACTAGGTTTAATTAGGTTCAATTGAGAAGATATCAGAAAATTTAGCAGGCACTAGTTTATCTTCTCCTGTGGACTTTACTCTTAACTAATCAAGTTTGGGCATTACTTTGACATTAGCAAAGGTGGATTGTAGATGCAAAAACAGTGTGGCAGGTAAGGTACTCGACAAGAGGGATGGAGGAGAAAAGTGGTTTCTTTTTTTGATGAATGACCGTGAATTTGTTGAGAGCTCTTTACAACCGTAAGTTGTTAGTCAAGTATACAAAAAGAGGCCACATCAGCAAGAAGCTACATCAGCATATTAAGTTGAACAATTTGTTGTAATTGAACAAAGACAAGTGTTGAAGTCTGTTGTAATGATGATAACGTAAATAGAATAAATACAATCAAGAAAGCCAAGGAGTCATTGAGGAAATTCCGAACTAAACCTGATATGGGCGCGTTCCTCGGGAAGAAATATCATCGCCGCCGGCAGCAGTAGTGATCCAATGTTCTCATCCTACCCAGTTCGGCAGCAACAGTCTTATCAGATTAGATTAGACTATCCTACTTGTTCTTATCTTATCTTATTGAGATTAGTAGATTAGATTATCTTATCTTATCAGATTAGGATTAAGAGAGACTTATCTTATCCTATCAGTCTTATCTTATCAAGATAGAGCAGGAGGGCTCCCTATTCAGCAAGGAGTCTCCCTAGGATTAGGACTCTTGTAATCTCCTATTTAAGGAGACACTATTATTGAATGAAGGCATCGAATATTCAGTCTAGAAGTGAGTTAGGAGAGTTGGTGATCTCTTGAACAAATAACCAAGGTGCCAAAATAGGTTCATCAAGAGTAGGGAGGAACAAGGGAAAACAAGAGGTTTTCCCCGTGGACCGACCCGTGACAAGATCCTATTCGCGGGTCCTCAACAACTTAGTATTAGAGCAAGGCGTCATGGGAGATCTGGAGCAGCTGCCGTCCAGGGTCCACGATCTCGAGCACCAGCTCGTGGAGACCAGCTCAGAAGTACGTGAGATCAAGGACAAAGTCAGGGAGCTTCGACGTCTGATGGAGTTATTCCTTGCTAGCAAAGAGAACATAGAAGGGGTGACAACCACTAGCGGCCGCCGACCAGATCTGCCAGAGTCTTCCGGCGAATAGCAGTTCGTCAACCAGGGGGCCGCAGTCATCCCCAAGTACAGCAGGTTAGATTTCCCGTCGTACAACGGCAACGGAGACCCCTTGGGCTGGGTGTACCGGTGCGAGCAATTTTTCCGATATCAACGGACAAACGACCGGGATAAGGTAAGCCTAGCCGCCTTTCACTTAACAGAAGAAGCGCAACTCTGGTTCTATCGATTAGAACAGGAAGAACCCGGGCTCAGTTGGCCCCAGTTCAAGTCCTACTGCCTTCTTTGGTTTGGGCCCCACTGACAAGCAACCCCTTAGGCGAGCTGATTAACCTTAAACAAACTGGCATGGTGGTAGAATACCAACGCCAGTTCCAGACCCTCCTCGTGAG